GCGTCGTCGTGCTAGACGAGGCGTCAAGGAAGGCATCGTCGACGACGTCAAGGACTTATGACGCGACAGCAGTGGTACGTCGACCGGGGCATCCCCTACCGGAGAGGCTATCTCCTGTTTGGTCCGCCTGGCAGTGGCAAAAGCTCGTTCATCCAAGCGCTGGCGGGCGAGCTGGACTTTAGCGTGGCCATGGTCAACCTCAGCGAGATGGGCATGACGGACGACAAGCTGGCTTTTCTCCTGACGAAGCTTCCGAAAGGCGAGCATACTGCTGCTGGAGGATGCGGATGCGGCGTTTGTCAACCGGCGACAACGCGACACGGACGGCTACAACGGTGCGACCGTCACCTTCTCGGGACTGCTCAACGCACTGGATGGCCTGGCAGCGGGAGAGGAGCGAATCGCGTTCCTGACGACGAACCACATCGATCGCTTGGACCCTGCGTTGATTCGACCAGGGCGTGTAGACATGATGATGCGAATCGGCGAGGCGTCAAGGCACCAGGCCAGCCAGATGTGGGATCGATTCTACGGCGACATCGACGTTGATGGGTCGGCTCGCGAGAGGTTCCTTGCCAGGCTCGATGAGCTTGGATTGTTTGGCAATGGGCAGGATGACGAAACGAGACACCGGCACACGAGCACGGCAGCCATCCAGGGCCTCTTCCTATTCAACAAGAACGACATGGAGGGGGCCATTGAGATGGCGGAGGGGTTGATCCCCCGGAAGTTTGAGCCTGGTGATGCCGTGCCTGACGGGGCCATCAAGACGAGGGCGTGAATGCTTTGTCGTCCAAGTGTGTCGCACGGCAAACTGTAAGCATATGTATCATCACCAACATAGACTCATGATACCCTTTTCACGGTTCTGGTCCTCACCATGCTCACGGGCCATCATATGTGATGGTGGTGGCTGCCTGTTCAAACTCATGTGAAGTGGGGTCTGGCGCTACACCCCGGTCTGACTCAATCATCCAATCCAACAACAGCAAGCCGCTACGTACATCCATTCAGCTGTCAGGTGCGCCTTCTCTCACGAGCTTCGTCTTGCCCCCGGATCGCACCTTCTTCACCATCAAGTAGTGTCATCAGTCGGCAAGTGCGCCTTAGGTACTTCCTTCTCGGCCTCTTGCATCATGTCGCGACAGACGAATATCAGCGACTTTTTCTCAGCTGCATCACAGCGGCCAAGACCACAGCCCGATGACGAGCAGAACAACATGAACTCACCACACTCCGCATCCACCTGGCGCGGTGCACGCGGCGGATTTGCTCGCGGCCAGGATCGTGCTCGAGGACTCGGACGAGGTGGCCGTGGACGAGACCGCAGAGCCCACAATCCGGACAGCACGCGCCGCAATAGAGATCTCGCCGAAGTCGCCAAGGAGACTCGAACCGTCCTCCCCGACATACTGCCTCACCTGCCCCCATGTCAATGCTTCGAATTCAGAAAGCCCTCCACCTTCGCGACCCTGCTTCACTCAAGTTGCCGACTGCCCGCGACATCCCCGGGCGACGATCAGAGTCGTCAATGCCGACACATTTAATGCTGCGCTGGCACTTGCCGAAGCACATCCTGATGGCGGTCGCGTCGCCGTCTTGAACCTCGCCTCAGATTATCGAGCGGGCGGCGGCTGGCTCAAAGGTGCGCGAGCGCAAGAAGAGGCCCTCTGTTACCGATCTTCGCTTTTTCTGTCTCTGCACAAGCGATACTACCCTTTCGATCACGCCCTCATGGGCATCTACTCCCCAGATGTGGTCATTATCCGCGAGGACATGGCCTCTGGGCATGATCTACTCATCCCGGATGACGGTCTTGGCGCGTTGCCTGTCGTGAGCGTCTTGAGCATAGCGGCACTGCGAAACCCCACGACCAAGAAAGTCCGGCTGCATACAACCACGGGGGCCGAGGAGCACATCGAGTTTGCCGACCCCAGAGACCGGGACGTGACCAAGGGCAAGATGCGGCTCTGTCTTCGCATGGCCGCTGCCAAGAGTCACGGACTGCTCGTTCTCGGGGCGCTGGGATGCGGTGCCTTCCACAACCCGCCAGGCGAGGTTGCGAGGTGCTGGAGAGAGGTTCTTGGCGAGAACGAGTTCGCCGGAGGCTGGTGGAGGGATGTCGTGTTTGCTGTTCTCGACACCAGGAACGAGGGCAACTACGAAGTCTTTGACGACGTCGTTGGCGGTATGATGGTGTAATTTAGTCGCGAGCCTGACGGCTGCCATCCAGACTCAGAGTCTTTCAAGGCACGTCCTTGTTCTGAACACCTTCAAGGCGCGTTAGTAATAATTTCAACAAGCATGAGTCTTACGAGGCTTTTGCTTCTCCGCGTACATACAGGTCCCGGCCGGGCCCCCTGCTATTGCTCAACAGTTTGCTAATCATAGACAGGTCGCAACAGAAACTATGGAGTGGCAACTAGGACGATGCGGGTCGCAACATTCGGCGGTGGTTGACCGTCTCGTGATGAACCAGTCAGCACCCAACCTCATGCAGGGGCCAGAAGCTATGCTGCACTCGTAAACCTTTTCAATAGGGGCAAATTGCCTCCAGACCACACCAGGCGGCGTTGCTTGTTTGTGCATTGTGCAAGTCTCTGAAAAGGAGTACTGATGTTGTCTTGTGTCGCTACGCAAGCTGCTTCAGCTCAGCGCACTCATCGAGACATGCATCATGACAGACCCTCAACTGCCCCACCGGGAACGGCTCACCCCCAGACGGCAACGCGCCTGCTGTGGCTGGACCGGAAGACCAAACCGGTGGCGAGGATAGACAAAAGAAGCACCTTGTCTCGGGTGCTGTACCCCACAGTGGCCCAGAGCCTCGACCCCGTCCAAAGCCTCTTTGGGTGCTTCCTTTTGTGATGCCGGCAATGGACCGGTAGACTGCTTTTGCCGAATCCCATACGTTGTACCAGGAAATTGGTATTCCAGGCCGAAGCGAATGATGACGCACCTGACATTTGGTGGCTCTCTTTGGTTCATCTGATCGCATACGGGGCTTCCCTTGACTGCCTCGCCGACCCCGGGTCCTCTATCGAACGCTTCAGCTTCATGCTCACCCCATAATGGCAGCCATGATGTTGTATTCCGAGAAGCGGCAGGCTACTGAGGTTACCAGCGACAACTCCCGATGCCTCTAA